AAATATTCATCAAATCCATTCACAAAACTTAATCAAATCCACTTGAAAACTTCTAACGCAAAATGAACAATCCGTTTCACATTGTCCTGCTCCATTGATGACGACACAGGAATTTTATAATGTTGCAGCTTTCCGTTTCTGCTGTCAGCATATTGTTACTACACTAAGTATCCAATTGCAGTGGAGTTGGCAAACATTTGTACTGCATGGTACACTGTTTCTTCTTTCTCACTGCATTTGGCTTGTGGCACATACAGCCTTTGTGCTTCCTCATAATAGTGGCGCAATTAAATTAAATATTTAACTTAATTACACACTGTCACTTGTACAATGTCAGCCCTGCTCTAGTACATTTTATGTAAAGACCTTAGCGCTAGCGCCATGTCAAATGTGCTTCCAATGATGCAAAAACTTTCTAAGAAAGTTTGCAGGACACTATTTGTCTTGGAACTGTCTTATGTGCTCCTTTCCTATGCTCTGCTCTACTGCTTCTTCTTCTCTCTACACTGGCAATTTAATTAAATGAATTTTAATTGTATGAAGGCAAAATTTTTCAACACTGAAAGCCATTCTTGTGCCTGCCAAAGGAGCAAAGTGAAATACCGTTGAAAGCATCACTCTCAGTCAATTGAAATGTGTTCCTTCCTCATGGAAGCTTAAGATTTCTTGGTGAAAGTAAATGTTGAAAAGTGCGCGAATATAAGGAACATATGCCTAAAGCGCACAACCTTTGTTCTAACAAATTTCTTAATAATAAAATTTTAGTTTAATTGAAAACTATTTAATAATTAAATAAGAGATTTACGGTAGCTACCACTGCGGTAGCTGGTAATAGGCGGTGCACTTACATATTTGTATCGCATAAGGGGACATATTTTTTGGAGCAGTAAATTGTGGTAAGGCAAATGGATTACATTGAATAATTCTATACAAAAATATACACTGATTTAATTATAAATTTTGCAAGTACCTATTTAGAGTTTTTGAAGACATTTTTTTTAAATATACTATAAAAATTACCAGTATAAAATGATGCAACTTACTATGACTGGCTCATAAGAGAATAGTATTAATACCTATTAATTAATTTGCAACTGTAGTAATATGTTTTTTAAATTATATTCTGATATTTATAAACCGTATAAAGTTTCTCCAAAGCCGCAGTATTTATGGTTACCCAGTGTGTTTATAATTAATCTGTTTTTACAATTTTACTTTTGAGTGCTTTGCGATGGTATCGTTATGCAAAAGTTTTCGACA